AATTTCTAATAGTCTATCATGTGAATATGCCATAAATTAATGCCTCAAATTGTTTCTTCATGTATATATTTAAGGACATTTATTTTGCTTTCAGTTTTTACCACTGTAAATACAGTGGCAATGAATACTCTTGTTAATTCCTCCTACCTTTTAGGTCTCAGCTTATTCACTACTTCCTAAGAGAATCCTTCCTGGCCCCTTCAGTACACTGAATTCTCCAATTACATAGAGGTATGTTTTATTCACTGCACTTTTTTTTGCCAGGAATCAACATTGACTGTGTTTATTTGACTGATGTTTGCCTTTTTTGGCAGATGGTAAGTACTGTAAAGTCACGGATCATGTCTAATAGTGCTCATCACTACATACTCCAAGGATTTCTGTTCCTGGTCCATTGTATATGCTTAATAAATGTTTGTATAGAACACTGATTACTATCTGTCTAAAGAGGATAGGCCTGTTACATAAAAGAGAATATGTGTTTTTTTCCCTGGCTACTTGTGTATATTGAGATGGCAAATTTGTTAGTTGGAGCTGGGGCTGGACCGAATTGTTTTCATAATTTAGGAGGGAGGAATTTGGTTGGAGTTGGAATGATGGAGAAGGGTCAGTGGACAGGATTAGAAAGGCTGAGATGCATGATGGGGAAATGGAGCCAGAGGCTCTGGAGCTGGTATGAAAGGAATAAGGAGCTTCAGAGAGGGGATTTCCTTTTTTTTTTTTCTTTTACTTTAAATTCTGGGCTACATGTGCAGAGAGTACAGGTTTATTACATAGGTATACATGTGCCATGGTGGTTTGCTGCACCTATCAACCCGTCATCTAGGTTTTAAGCCCCGCCACCCTAATGCACATTAGGTATTTGTCCTAATGCTCTCCTTCCCCTTCCCCGCCACCCCACAATAGGCCCCGGTGTGTGATATTCAGAGAAGGGAATTTTCATATGAAATTCTATATAATGGAGTCCTTCTGTATAACTCCAACGTCTTCAGCAAAGCCTACGGAAATCTTCAAGTGCTTAGTTTATGTAGATTTCTAATGAAAATCATTGTTTTGGGGCTCAGGCAGGGTTATTCGCCAAGCACAAAGATGTCCACTATCATCTGAGCTTCACTAAGACTAAATTTAACAGACGCAAATGTAAAGCCCTGTATGTGGCTTAAAAAAATGTCATATACACAAGTAGACATTTTGAGGAGACTTGACTTTGACAACTCTCGTTTTGAAAAATGCAGGCAATTATCTGAGTATGACATGAGCCAGTTCTATGTAATCACTATTAAAACCAAAACAATGAATATAGTCATTAATAGTGCAGGATTCTATTCAAGGTAGATCATAGTTGCACTTCGCTCTTAAACTATTTTTTGTAGTGCTTTACTTTAGTCATTGGCAAATTCTATAGCACCCAGTGCCTGCTACTCAATTAAAAAAAAAAAAAAACTGGAAGCCATGGCTTAGGAGTAATGGTTGATGGAAAAGGAGAAATTTAATCCCAGAAAGAGAAGACTTGAGGGCCACTGGATACCTGTCCTCAACTATGTTGAAAGAACATGTTGAAGACAGAGAGATTCTGGTTTATGGGCTGCAGAAGGCAGATCTGGAACAATGGCAGATATTATAGGGCAGAAGAAGTAGACTCAGTATATGGAAATGCTCTATGATTAAACTGTAATGTACTGTTGTTTGAAGAAGGAGCTTTCTGGACTTGAAGATTCCAGCAGAGGTTACATGACCATGTGAATGAAAGATTGTAGAGGAGATTTCTGCATTGGGTGGACTGGATTACATGACTTCTTCATTCCTTTTCAATGGAGAGTCTGTGAAAAAGGCTGGTCTTATTGCTTTCGCTCTTGTTATTACTACTTTAATATATGCCTTGCCCTTCAGGCTACAAGCTCCGTGAGGACAGGACTATGTCTATCTTGTTATCAGGGCCCAGCTTAGAGCTTTGCACTGCCTAGGTGCTTGGAACTACTTGGTGACTTGAAATGAATGACTGCCTTACTCAATAGCCAAGGCCAGTGGAGTAGTTTAGCCAGTGAAGCAGAGAGAATTAATCAAAGGGATTGGGTCAGTTGATTACGTATCTCCCTGGAACCTATCCTTAACGTGCCAAGTATTGAGCTGATGGGACACCTGGTCTTACTGTCAACATCACTGTTTAGGTGTAGACTTCCATTTCTCCATTTATGACATGATAAAGAAGCAGTATGATGGAGTTGTTAAGAGCACAGTTTCTGGGGTAAGACTGGCTTGCATTACTTGGAAGTTATTTAGTCTTCCCATATCTCAGTTTTATCTTTGTAAAACAGAGAAAAGAATAGTACCTTCCTCACAGGGTTGCTGTGAGGATTATGTGTGTGTGTGTTTTTGTGTGTGTACATGCACATGCATGTGTAAGTTGTTATAAATCGGTGTGCACTTTTTTCCTTTAAGTTAAGCTATTGGAGCAAATAGAAAATATAATAAGACTCTATGTAATATTTGTGAGGATGATTCTTTCTATATGTAGGCACTTATGAAGAAGCCTTCTCAAATTCTTTTTTTTTTTGAGAGAAGGTCTCACTCTGTCACCTAGGGTGGAGTCATATGATCTCACCTCACTGCAGCCTCAACCTCCTGGGCTCAGGTGATCTTCCCATCTCAGCCTCCCAAGTAGCTAGAAGTACAGGCATGTGCCACCAGGCCTGGCTAATTTTTTGTACTTTTTTGTAGAGATGGGGTTTCGCCATATTGCCCAGGCTGGTCTCAACCTCCTAAGCTTAAGCAATCCTCCCACCTTGGCCTTCCAAAGTGTTGGTATTACAGGTGTGAGCCACTGCTCCCGGCCTCAAATTCTTATCTGTTCATACACACACTAAAGAAGTAAGGAGGAGGCAGGGGCTGAGTTTCAGTCTAGCTTTGCCACATGCCACGATCTTCGGCAGGCCATTCTCCTTTCTTAAATACAAGTAACATGGGGCTGAGTACACCAGTCTTCATCTTCTTCCAGTGGACTTGGAGCATGAAATAAAATGAGCTAAAACATATGGCAGGATCTAGCTAACTGTATAGAATAAAATGCATACCTTCAGGTCTATTATTGCTCCTGTCTTTGGCCCATATACACACTTTGTTGTGGGGGCCTGGCCCAGCTGCTAGTCTGCAGGGAAAAGATTTCCAGTCCTTCCAGGTTAGCTCTCCTACTCATAATTCTTTCCTGGGAGAAGGAAAGGAGGGATGTTTCCTCTGTGCTTTAAAGTTGATCAGGATGCTCAGGTGCAAGGTCTTCGATCAGAAAGAAAAATTGCTGTTTAGATTTTTATCCCGTTTCTTCGATGCTGTTTCTTTCACAGTCCCTTTAGAAATTTCCCTAGTTCTCCTGTGGCATAAAATGAGTCAGAATGGCAAATGAAACATGCAGAAGACATAAATTCCAGGCATAAAATATAAATCAAATATACATCTATCAATTGGCTTTATGCTATCTGAGCTGCCCCCAGGGTGTCAGTGGATCAGGTGAATGGATTTCTGCCACTGTGGGTAATTCCATAAGGTAATAGGGTGGGCCCTAATGCAGTGGAGAGGTAATATTCTCCAAGTTATATATCATGGTTTAAGAGGGGAATTTGTATATTTTGATTTTGCGAGTCAATGAAGTTGAGTCCCTAAGGCACTCTCGGAGCTCAGCCTCTCTGAGACTGTGGAGAGAAGCTGGCTCAAGGCCAGGAACACCGCCTGAGGAAAATGAAGCCACCTAGGCTCCAGAGGCCTGGTCCAGAAAGACTCTGTCCTATGGCCTCAGGGAATGCTCAGGATAGAGAAAATTACCATATAAATATTATATGTTTTTTTTTTCATTTAATGGGCTAAGTTAACTATTATACCAAATAGTGAATTTGTCAAACCAAGTGGGAAAAAATTCAAGCTATTTGATTGACAACACTCAACCAGAATGGTCAATCAATTAGTTCTAGTAATTGTGATGATGGAGCTCTGTGATGATGTAGTGAGAGAGAGAAGAAAGATGGAGAAGGAAGAAACACAGGAAAGGCTAACACTCACTGAGCTGACATTTTATTTTCCCAAGTACTGGGTTTAGCAGTTTTCATGCACAAATTCATTTAATCCTTCCTACATCCCTATCAGGTAGGAACTATGACTTTCATTCACATTTTATGATTGAGGAAATTAGGCATCAAGAGGTTAAGCAACTTGCCCAAGGACCACCAAGTTAGTGGTATAGCAGTGATTTGAATGCCCTCTTAACCACTATACCATGTCACCTTCAAAGAAGAAAAGTTTATTTCCAATCTGAAGAATAGTTTTTTAGGTTCCAGGAAGTCTGACAACTTAGATTTTAAAAAGCTAGATTGGAAATGAAAGTATTAGAAATGTGCCTGAAAGTAAGTTACTGCTCCTGAATACATCAATATGCTTAAGAATTGTTTCTACAGCTCTGCAAAATTAGTGGGAGGTAGGAAATAACCTGTTTTGACCTCATTTTAGATAAAATCTGTTAGCAAAACCCATGTTTGGACCTGAGTTCAAGTAGAGCTGTAGAGATCTGGTGAGCTGGCTTAGATTTAAGTGTTTTTGAGGTTCCAAAGTAGGGTCCTAAAGAAAGATGCAGACTTCGATTTGATTACCAATGTAGAGCTGTGCTAAACATTTCCAATTGCCGAGGAACCCCAAGTCCAGCCCATATTATGCATATGGCAATAAGCAAGATACAGTAAATGAATAACTATTATCCAACCCCATCTTCCTAACAGAACTCAGTTATATTCAGTCAGTTACCCTTTCCCCATGCAACCATTTACCTCAGGGACGTTGATCCCCATCTCAGTCCCCAGGGTGGCCTGATTGAGTTCACAGTAATCTAATCCCACTAGCCTAAGATTGGTTCAACAATTGACATGTGACCTAGTAGTGACCAGTTAAAAGTGGTGGAGAGAAGGGGAAAGGTTGAGACTTTGGGGATACATTTTCTTCTATTTAAAGAGAAATCCCAGAATGAGATCAGCTTTCTCTTTTCTCCAGAAGTAATTGTGTCTGTGTAGTGATAACTATATATCACAGTGCTTTGAGCCATTTCTGAAATACCCAAGTAGAATCATCTTTAAAAATAAGAGCTTATTTTCTAATTTATCGCAACAAGAAGTTCAGAAATAGGACAGTTCTAGGGTTGGTTAATTCAAGGAACACAAGGTTCCTTACATCTATTTACTCTTTGTGTTAATACCTTTCTCCATGGTGACAAGGTGGCCATAGCAACTCCAAGAATCACCTTCTCACACAGCTCTGTGCAGAGGCAGTAAAAGGCCAAGTTCCTGACTTGTGTCCCTTTATATGAATATAAATGTTCTGGAAGGGCCAAGGCCAACTTCCCCTTACAATGCCAAGATTTTGTGAGATGTGCATTATTTAACTGATTGTGGGCGGACCAATGAAATATCCATAATTGGCTTAGATCATGAACACCCACATTGGGAAGGAGTTAATGAAGTACACTAATCTCTGATACATGAACAAAACTGAGCTTCTGTTAGAAAGGAGGAAGGTGGAGAATATGACTGTTGGGTAGACAACCAATAGGGTCAACCAATGCCTGCAACAATTACAGGGAATGGCTGCCAGTTTGAATGAAGCTAACACGAAGGATGGCAGAGTGGTGAGAGATAAAGAATCTGGGTCTTTAATGACATAATGAGCTGCTAAATCAGACCAAACAAGAAGCCTGAGCAACTATCTGTGGACCTCCTGTTAACGTGTTGTAAGAAGTTCCTTTATTATTAAACCTGTGTGAGGTTTCTGTTATTTCCAACTGAGATGATTACACATGGAGTTTGGTGAATGAATACGTGATGTAATGTTTAAGTTCCTGGGATGAAGATCTCGTTGTATCTGACTTTGGGATAGGCAAATTTATAAAAAGATGAGGATAAGTAAACTTTTGATGTATTGAGTCATAGTTTAAATGTATCAGGAACACACAGTGAATTCTTTTGAAAAGATCTCATCTTGTATTTTGTTTATCTTATAAAGTTATTCTTTTAAAAAGAGTTAGTGCATACCTGTGGTCATTAGGGTTGAGAGGAGGTATCTCTGTGAGTAACCAGGCCTCTCCCGGATGGAGATAAAGTGGGGAGATTATTTGGGAATGCTGGGGAAGTATTCAGTTTACACATTCTCCAAATATTTGTTGAGTGCCTACAATGTGTTGGGCACTGTGCTTGACTTCAAGGATACAACAATGAACAAGGCAAACATGACGCTGGCTTTCAAAATTTTGGATAGTTTCCTCTATGTTTTAGGGATTTAGACCCGGAGATCCCTAATCAATCCTAAACATATAGAGAATATTAGTGACAATTTTGTTTTACTAAATATTATACTAATTTAATATGCAATATCTGCTGGCTATATAGCATTTACAAAGAGCAAATTTATAAATCACATAATAGTAATAAATATCTATTGTTGAGGACTCATTATGTGTCATGTGCTGTTCAAAGTGTCTTATACATTGTCATGTCCTCCTATAATAATCCTGTGTGGTAGATATTACTAGTCAGCTCATTTTGCAGATGAGAAGCCTGAGAGATATTAAATATTTTATTAAAGTTACACAGTTAATAAATTGCTGAGTTGAGACTTGAATCCTGGTTGTTTTATTCCTGAGCCTTCTCCTTATCCCCACTATATGGGCATGTATCTTACTACCCCATTGTACAGATTTGAATCTGAGGCTCAGACATAGGACATGACTCACCTTTTTTACTGTTGAGAAAGTCTGCACCTATCTCACAGGGTCTTATGAGGATTAAATGAGACAATATGTAAAAAAAATAAATTAACATGGTGCCTGGTATGCAGGAAGCCTTCAAGAAATGCAGGGCTTTGGTTTGTTATTGTAAAACCAGGTCTTAAGTTTTGTAGTCTATTGCTTGAGATTATTAGAAACCTCTGAATTTTAAAAAGTCACAACATCTTTAAAAATACCATACCCAGTTCTTTTAAACCCTCTGTACTTATAGGAATTTATTTATGTTGTAGGGGAAATTGGAGATGGAGATACAGATACATAAACAGTATCAGAAAGTCTCTACTACCTCCTTTCACTCTTTTCAGTACAATCATGGTTTGACCCAGAAACCCAGGACTGGGGGCCACTGGGTTCTCTCTCAGTTTTCAAAAGGTGACGTCATAGAATCATAGAATGTTAGAATTGGAAGGACATGGAATCTAATTTCTCATTTGAAACCTGAACTCCTTTTTGTTTTTTTCCTGGATGACACTTTCTGAAATTTGGGTTTGGGCTTTTGCGTACACGTGAAGATATTTACCACTCCTTTATCACATAGAGAAAAACAAATCAGGCTAACTCTTTAAAAAAATTGTTTGCACTATCACATACATACAGAAAAGAGCACTAATCACATAGCTGTATTGATTTTCACAAAATGAGACAATAGAGAATAACTGGATGAATTTTCACAGGAAGAACACCTGAGTGACCAGCACCCGGAGGAGAAACAGGACCTTATCTATGTCCCGAAGCCCCGCTGTGCCCTCTCCCGATCACTAACCATTAGAAGGAAATTACTATCCTACTTCTGATGCCATAAACTGATTTTGCTTGTTTTTGAATGTAACATAAATAGAATCACACAGCATGTACTTCTTTGTTTCTGGTTTCATTCTGTTAATATAACATTTAGGAGATTTATCCATGTTGTTTTATGAAGTTACAGCTTGTTCATTAACTCATTGCTGTGTAGAACTTGATTATATGAACATACCACACTTTATTCATCCATTCTTCTTTTGATGAACAATTGGGTTGTTCTCAGTTTAGGTTATTAATTACAAGGCTTCTGTGAACTTTCTCGAACATGCCTTGGTGAGCATTTCTTTACACTTCTGTGGGGGTATATACCCAGCATTGGAATTGCTGAGTCATAAAAATTGTATGTTTTCAATTGCAGTAGATTCTGCCAAATAACTTTTCAGAGTGGTTTTCTAGTCTAGAAAGATTATATTTAACTTTTTTATGGACAAGAACCAGGGGGAAGCATTGGAAGTCCCATTGTATGGGCCTGTAGCATTAGAAGCATCTGGTTAATAAATTGATTGCTCAATGTGTCTTGATTGAGCTTTTACTATGTGCTAGACACTGTGCTAGAGGCACTAAAGACCTTATGGACTAATGGAGGGAGATAATTTAAACATATAGTCACATTATTGACTATATATTTACAAACTGCTGAGTTGAGACTTGAATCCTGGTTGTTTTATTCCTGAGCCTATTCTCCTCATCCCCACTATATGGGCATGTATCTTACTCCCCCATTGTACAGATTTGAATCTAAGGCTCAGACATAGGACATGACTCACCTTTTTTACTGTTGAGGAAGTCTGCACCTATCTCACAGGGTCTTATGAGGATTAAATGAGACAATATGTAAAAAAAAATAAATTAACATGGTTCCTGGTATGCAGAAAGCCTTCAAGAAACGGAGGGCTTGGTTTGTTATTGTAAAACCAGGTCTTAAGTAAGTGCTATAAAGGAGTACAAAATGCCATAAGACCAACAGACTAGTGTCCTTTCCCTTTTGATTCTTTCTGAAAGGAAGGGGAGAAGGGGGAAAGCAACCTAACCTCTAACTGTAATAGCCTTAATTGTGAACCAGCTTCTAAGCTATCAGGCTGGAACCTAATTAATCACTGAGGGTGGTATAGAATTGATGAATTGCTTTGGTGCTCTTTTACTAGTATAAATCTTTGATTTAATGATTGCTGCTCTCTGATTCATACCACACTACCCTGGTGATCAATATGCATGATGAATGGCTGATTTTCAAGAACCACCCACTTTGTAAGCTCTTTTACATGTACAGTGTGTGTATGTATGAATTAGTACTCTAGACAGATTTCCGACAAAGAGGCAGAGGGTGAGGTAATATTATGGGTGAGGAGGAGGGGAAGAGATGGGGGAGATGAATGGAATTTGCTCGCAGAAGTTAGGAGGAAATGTTCAGAACAGGCGAAATAAAGTACTACATGAGAGGGCTCCTCTTCTGCGTTGACTTTTTGACAAGTGTCTATTGGCCCAATCCTTGGGTTTAAGGATCTGCTGTTGCTTGGAGGAGACTTACTGTCCACAGCTCCTTCAGAGAGAGAAACTTTTTATAGGCTAAGAGCTTCATGTAAAATTTACTAGCTCTGAATTTCTGGGCTTTATTTCAGAGTTTCTAATGCTGAGTGGGGATGAAGTTGGAAAGTTGATTGTAGTTTGCAGAGGTCCAGGAAGACTTGTTTTGTGGTTTGCTCATTGGTTCCTTCATTAAACCCAGAGCTATTTATTGAGTACCTATCATATTCCAACCCCAAGCTAGTCACCAGAAACACACTGGTGAGTCAGACAGGTATACCTCTGCACTCAGGGAACTTTTTTTTTATTTAGAAGGATATGCCGGACTGCCAGGCTTCCTTTGGTCTTGTGGACATGCACATGCTATACTTCATTGTAGATTTTTCAGGATACCTGGTTTTAGTTTCTGGGAGCTATCTTTAGGCCTCCCTCTTTCTCATGCTCTTTTATACACACATACGTTTTGTGACTGGATTTCCTTATCTGTCAAAGTTTGCTTTCTCAAATTTACTAGGGAAAGCTCGGTGTCTCTCATGTAACTATGAAACAATCAGACCAATTTTAATGTGATTTTTACAGAAATCAGCCTCTTTCTTGCCATCCTATGAATATGACACTAACTTGAATAGTAAAGTATTAATATTATATACACGTGAGGTGTTTTGAATGCCCAGTGACTTTTATCTGGAAGACATAATCAAAGCAATACTAAAAGGCTTCCTATTGGACCATTGTTTTTGATTCAAGGAGTTGGAAAAACTTAAAGGTCTATCATTGGAATTATGGTGAGACACGATAAAATGACTCCAAATCATCATGTAGATTTCTGTTAATGTAAAAATAAGTTCACATCATTTTATTGAATAAAAAATGGTCAAGAATAGCATGCATAGTTATGATCTCTGAAACATAGTAGGCATTTGTTCCATAAACTAATAATCAGATTTTTATAGCTGTCCTATCAGCAAAAAGAGGTGCGTGGAATGATGCCCCCTAAAACATTAGCAATGAGGAGTAGTGGAACATCAAGTGTCAAAAAGCCATTTGAAAAGAAACTACCATCAGAGTGAACAGGCAACCTACAGAATGGGAGAAAATTTTTGCAATCTACTCATCTGACAAAGGGCTAATATCCAGAACCTACAAAGAACTCAATCAAATTTACAAGAAAAAAACAAACAACCCCATCAAAAAGTGGGCAAAGGATATGAACAGACACTTCTCAAAAGAAGACATTCATACAGCCAAGAGACACATGAAAACATGCTCATCATCACTGGCTATCAGAGAAATGCAAATCAAAACCACAATGAGATACTATCTCACACCAGTTAGAATGGCAATCATTAAAAAATCAGGGAACAACAGGTGCTGGAGAGGATATGGAGAAATAGGAACACTTTTACACTGTTGGTGGGACTGTAAACTAGTTCAACCATTGTGGAAGACAGTGTGGCGATTCCTCAAGGATCTAGAACTAGAAATACCATTTGACCCAGCCATCCCATTATTGGGGATATACCCAAAGGATTATAAGTCATGCTGCTATAAAGACACATGCACACGTATGTTTACTGTGGCACTATTCACAATAGCAAAGACTTGGAATCAACTCAAATGTCCATCAGTGATAGACTGGATTAAGAAAATGTGGCACGTATACACCATGGAATACTATGCAGCCATAAAAAAGGATGAGTTCATGTCCTTTGTAGGGACATGGATGCAGCTGGAAACCATCATTCTCAGTAAACTATCACAAGAACGGAAAACCAAATACTGAATGTTCTCACTCATTGGTGAGAGTTGAACAATGAGATCACTTGGACACAGGAAGGGGAACATGACACACTGGGTCCTATTGTGGGGAGGGGGTAGCGGGGAGGGATAGCATTAGGAGATATACCTAATGTAAATGCCGAGTTAATGGGTGCAGCACACCAACATGGCACATGTGTACATATGTAACAAACCTACACGTTGTGCACATGTACCCTAGAACTTAAAGTATAATAAAAAAGACATTGGAAAATATATTTTAAAAATAACTTGATATTCTTATAGCAAATGTAATTTATGTACATACCCAGAAAGTACATGCTATTTTCATTATTAAACAGCAGTATTCTGAGTAAGAACACCTTCTATTTGTCAAAAGGGAGGCTAGAAACTTCTCTTCTCTGGGATCTGATCTTCTTCAGCATGTGAAAGAATTAAGAAAAGCGACTCCCAGGCAAGCAGTAGAGTCTCTTTGTACAAGGCCTGGAGGGCTGATTCTGTTAACCAACCCCCTCCACCCCCCTGGAGAAATTTGAGCGATTCTGCATCTCTCCTCCTGGGAGGTGGTCTGCTCCCCTCTCCTGAAACTAGGGGATTCTCACATTTATTACCACTGTGGCTTCTCTTCCCCTTCACTTATCCATCTCACCCTGGTGGTTTCTTGTTTTATTCGGCACCCAGTAGAGCTCTGCTGAGCTCTGGGCCTCTCTTTCCCACCAATCCTCATCCAATTAATTGATAAAAAATTAATAATTTAACTTTAGGGATGGGAATTATACACCATTCTCCAAGCTCCCTCTTCACCAGACCTCCTCGAGTCGCCTCACACAGACAAGCACCTGAAGCAAGAGGAAGGAACATTTTCCATATTTTAAGTGGATTTTACCACTGGAGCATCCTTGATTGGAGGGCAGGAGAAAGAACGGGAGGCACAGAGCAAAACTGGTCCCTCTAGAAATCAGGAGGTTAAAAGGAAATTGGTAGGAAAAAATCACATTTGTTCCCTCTGTGCTTTTGGATGTATTTGGGACTTTTGCCAACCTACTTACTTATTTTAACCCTGAACTGCATGTATGTGACACAGCTCCATTGATTTTGCATTCATTTAAAAGCGCGTGCTCTGAAATTCAGACAGTCTTCACTAGCGGTGGGACCTTTGGCTTCAGTGTTTTTTTCTGTAAAATAGAACAACCTGCCTTCTAGTCTTGTGACCATCAGTGAGATAAAACACTTATAGCACTGAGCATGGCAACTGATGTAACATAAGGGCTCGAAAGTTTTAGATGTAATGATGACTATTGTTTCTGCAAGCCAGTATTAGTGATTATTTCAATAGAGGCTTAGCTGAAATTTACCGTGGTGCTGGGAGGGTATGTTTCTTCATAAACCAGTATTCGTTTAGGAAGGAAGTTTTCTTTGATAAAAGTTGCTGTTTAAGAATGATATAATTTGGGAGGCCGAGGCGAGCGGATCACCTGAGGTCAGGAGTTCGAGACCAGCCATGGCTAACATGGTGAAACCCCATTTCTATTAAGAATACAAAAAATTAGCTGGGCATGGTGGTGCATGCCTGTAATCCCAGCTACTCAGGAGCCTGAGGCAGGAGAATCACTTGAACTCAGGAGGCAGAGGTTGCAGTGAACTGAGATCATGCCATTGCACTCTAGCTTGGCCAACAAAAGCAAAACTCCATCTCAAAAAAAAAAAAAAAAGAATGATATAACATGATTACAATGTTTAAATGACT